ATATATAATAATATAATATTTTATGATTTATATTTATAAATAAAATACTATATTATAATTTATAAATATACGTATATCATATATAGTGATTTTAGATTTTGTAATGTTAGGAGTATATTATTATGTGTTTTGGACATTGTCCTATTTCGAGTGAAACAAAAAAAAAAACAGATTGTATGAAAAAATAATGTACTTTAACTTGATTTCTATTTTAAGTAACGTATTTCTAAAACTTTCATTTTGGTACCTAAGATGTAAAGTTTTAAATATTTAAGTACCCGGGTAACCAGTTGAAGCATTAACCGGTTACGATACTGATGTAAAAAATGATGTGGTATTCAACTCAATATTATTTGTTGAAACATTAACCGGATGACAAAAGTCCAGTAGACGAAAGCATCAAAGGGAATTTTCGGTGGATCGATGAAATGAGTAGAGACCACGATCAAATATATGGAAGCATTGGTTTATACATTCCTCTTAGGGGGTGTTTGGGATTGCTTATTTGAAACAACTTATACTTTTCTATAAAAACGTTTATCAAGTTATTATAAATCAAAAGGGTTTAACTTCTTTAAAAATTCTTTATTACCGGTCTCGCACCAATATAAGTTGTTTATCCAAACACTCAAAAGTGCTTATTACCGGTGTCACACCAGAATAAGTCAATAATTTGTTTTTATGAGCAATCCCAAACACCCCCTTAGTCTCGACGGAGAGTGAAATAGAACACGAAACCATAAGCTCCCACTCATCCACCTGTATAACCTTCAAATCTAATCCAACCTAATATTTTTATCGTTTATCAGTGATTCAACTTAAATTACAAACTTTATTGTTTTAATGCCTATAAAAATCATCATACAGTTAAAACACAATATTCAGTTGTATATAAAAATATGATAATATTGAGTTCTATTTGAAAATTATTAAGAGTGACAAATTTTGTTTCATAATTTCTTTTGGTTTTATCTTTTCCTCAGTCATATTGGTTGAGATCACCGGCGGCAGGTTAGTACAGTTTTTCTGTTTGCAGATTTTTCTCTATATTCTTCAGTCTCGAACAGCTCATCGGGAGGGCTGTTGTCAATATGAATTTAGAAATGAGATCTGAAATCAGGGCTAGCCAACAAATGATAAGAAGGGCACGCACGCGAATGGTGTTTTTGTATAAAACTCGTGGATTAAATGACCTAAAATGTTCAGAAAAAACCAAGGCTCTAAATGGCGTGAGACGTAACGTGGCGACAAGGTCAAGCCTCAAGCCTTACGAGTTACAGGGAGGTCATGGTATTTTTCAAAGCGTGACTTAAGGCGACAAATCTATAATATATATATAGATTTTTCAAAGTGTGTCTATGTGTGTGTGTGTGTGTGTGTCTATGTGCATATATGTGTGTGTGTGTCTATACGCATATGTTATATCAGTGTCTACGGTGTCAAGAAGCGTTTTTTAAAACATTGGACAAAACTATTAAACGGTAGTTTTTGTAATATATGCATTATTAAGGATGAATTTTACAATTTTAATTTCATATATTCATGTCATTAATTTATTTTTTTGATAGGGACGAAATTATTTTTTCTCAACGATACGCTAAAAAAACAAGAGAAGTGGCCAAGTTGGAGTGTTTGGTTGGTAGAGATAGATATGTCTTGTCCTTAACCAGTATTTAAATCGAGAAAATCTGATCAATTTGGGTTTGTCAATCATAAATCAATCTGAATCGAACTTGATTTATTATATTTTTCCTCTTTTCATTGCTTACATAAAAAACATCTGAACATCTGAATTATCCACAAAATGTTTCTATCACTTTTCCGAAAGTATTCAGATTTTGTTATTTTGTCTTTTAACTGAACTCTGGAGATACATGCCATATCCAAACATCTGATCCACATTCGGTCCTTTTCTAGGACCGACCCTTGGTTAACAACCTTAACTTACGGATTCATAGGACTAGACTGTACGTCTGCACCTGTAACTGGTCTTTTTTTTTTTTTTGGTTTAGTCATATATCATTTGCTCTTTTGGATTCTAATGAACATCATATGATACTGAATTTACACTGTCGAACCTGAACCCTAACAATTAGCTTGCTCTTCAATCACTCTGACTGTAAAACAATGATTATGAGGAGGATGATCATGAGTAAACAAAGATGTATGAGTCGTTAAAGAAGTCATCGGGCGGTAGTTTTTGATCCCCCTTTGTTTTCTCTCGACGGCTTGTAAAGCAGATTTCTTCGACTTACTTTCGTGGTTAAGGATGGTAATGTTGTTTTATCGTCATTGATGTTTGTTTTTCCCATCTTATTGTCTTGACAAGGAATCTAGAACTTGACGAAATTGAGGAAATTAAGATGATTGATTTCAAACAGTTATGGTAAATAAATAAGTCTAAATAGTAAATCGAGAGAGGAAATCCTAAAAATCAAGAAACGAAAAAGCCAAAAGTATATACACAACTAAAACCAATTTAATGAGAGAACCAGAGATGCACAAAAAAACGTGAGTCTGAGGCCCGGTTCCATCACCTAGCCCTAGTATGCCCGAGCCCAGCCCTAGGCCCAACCTTAATGTCCGATCATGTCAACCCATTTTTAAGGTCCGGTCAAAACTCGATCAAGGTTGAAAACCCTCGAAAATCTTGTCTGAAAAATCCCGATCGGATCCTCTTTCAATCCTAAAGCTCAGCCTAACCTGGACAGTGTTTTGCTTACTGAAAACCAGACTTGGAAGACCTAAATAAATGATTTTTTTTTTCAATTATTACAAAAATTATTTTGAAAACATCTCTCCAAATTCCAATGATCCAAATGGGCTTGTGGGTCAAAACTAAAACTATATACTATTTAGTCTCTAAAGAAAAGGAATTTGGGCCTCATCCAAATGAAAAGAAAATAGACTTAAAATATGTTGTAAATAAATTTAACATATTTAAAAGAAACTAGAAGGGTACTCGTGTAATGCAACGAGATACATCTTTGTTTTAATATTTTATATTACATTTTGTCTCTGTTGATATAAAATACGGTTTATGTGGTTTTCATAAAGATAATGTTTTTACTTTTGAATAAAAATAAATTTCAAGATATCATAAAATTTTGAAAAAATATATCGATATTAATATCAATTTAACTATTTAAAAATTTTCATTTTTTGTACAATTTTTTAATTCAATTCTTTTAATATAATTTAATTTAGGTCTAATAGCGAAGTAATTTATTTGTGGCGCAACAATATAATTTTTATAAAGATAATAATTCTGTTATAATTAAATGATTATCCTAATTATGTTTTAAATTTTTTATATTTAAAATGAGATGTTTATCATGTATTTGATTACGTTTATCTGCGGTTAGTAATATGAATTCAAAAATGGAGTTTTAATATGTTTTACTTATGCACAATTTACTTGTAATCTTAAAATTTAAGTAATATGCATTAATAAAAAGTACTTCATACATAAATAATGATTTTTAAGAGTTTTTATCGTCATGGAGGTTCAAATGTCTTCGTGCTACCCGCAAAGTGGATGGTTGTCCTTAGTCGGTTCACGGGTTAGATATCCAGGTTAATTTTTTTTTTAATTTTAATTTACTAGAATTTTCTACTTTTGTACTTTTATTAATTAATTACTACTTTCATTATGATTTACATTTTAATAATAATGAAAAATACTTATGTAAACAATATTTTTGTGATCATGTACAAAAGTAATTAAAAGGATAATTTACAT